AGCAGAGATGAGGTCTCGCTGCCCAGGCGGGTCTCGAACCCGCGGGCTCAGGCAATCCACTCACCTCAGCCTCCCAAAGGCACAGGATTACAGGCTGAGCCACCGAGCCCGGCTTCCTCCTCTTTTTAATAAACTCCTAGCAATACTTGGGTTTTGGGATATCTAGGAGGACCTCACTGGGGTGTGGATAGGGCCTGTATCCTGCAGCAGGGCACAGAGATGGCTGGGACATAGATCAGTCTTTTCTCCTGATCTGGAAGCAGGGAAACCCAGCTATTGGGTGGCCCAACTGCCCCACCCTTAGGCCTGGGATGACTTTCCCACCCTCTTCACCTAGTTGGTTACTCCTGAACCTTGGGATCCAAGTAAACGTACCTTCTTCAGGAAGGAAGTTCAGGGTCCCCATTCTACTCTCAGAGCACTGTGCACCGTTTCATGCCAGTACTTGCCAAAGTTATACTTTCGTGCCTATTTGCGTTTTTAAAATTTATTATGAATGGAAAATGCGATTGCTTGATTTAAAAGTAAATCACTGAGTAATTTAAAAACATCTTCTACTCGTACCCCATCCACTCAGGTTCTTCAACCCACACACAGGTAACCACTGTTACTAATTTCTTTTCATTGTTTCTTTTTGCTCATAAGGAAGAATATATAATCTCAAACTCCCTCTTTTGTACACAAAGGTAGCATACTACATAAACATTTTTGCACCTTGCTGTATAAACTTAACATATCTTGAAGACTGTTCCATTCATAGAGAGTTTCTCTATCCCTTCCTTTGTAGCTGCATAGAATTTCATTACATGATTGTTCCATAGATTCTGCAGCCAGTCTTTTGGGAAGGAATGAAGTGTTTTCCTGTTTTTTGCTCTTCTAATTAAGCTTGTACATATGTCATCTTAAACTGTGTAGAATGCATCTGTGCAATAAGTGGCCTGTTCAAAGGGTATTTGGATTTGTAATTTTGAAAATATTGCCAAATTGCCCTCCCTGGGAGGTGAACTGATGATATTCCCATTGCTATAGCCTTACCAGCAGAGATGGGAGAGCAGACTTTTGGATTTTGGTCAGTAGGGGAAAGGTAGATAGCACTTTTAGTCTTAATTTACATTTCCTTCATTATGAGTGAGGTCAAGCATTTTTAAATATCTGCTTCCTCTTCTGTGAACTGCTGTACTTATCCTTTGCTCATTCTTCTCTTAGAGTTTTGATATCAAGTTCTATGAGCTTTTATCAAGTAGGAAGACTTAGCTCTTATCTGTGGTATGAGCTGTATGTGTTTTCCCAGTTTGTCATTTGTCGTTTGATTTTGCCTGTACTGCTGCTATTCCCACACAGATGCTTTTGATTGAATTTATCAGTCTTTTCCTTATGGAGTCTGGATTTTGAGTTATTGAAAGCCCAAATCCACTCTTTACTTACAAAAGAATTTTCTTCTAGTATTTTATGGATTATTTTTATATTTAAACCATTGATCCTTTTGGAATTTATCCTGGCATTGATATGAGGTGTGAAT